TAGCACTGCTTTACAGCCCTCTCTAAACAATTTACAGAGTCAGCATATTGCCCCCAACAACCTGGGTCCTCGTTTTACCCAGCTTGGAAGGAGCGAAGGCTGAGTCAATCTTGAGCCTGGTGAAATTTGAACTGCCAAATTGCAGGCAGCCAGTAGGCAGCAGAAGTAGCCTGCAGTGCTGCGCTCTAACCAATGTGCCACCATGGCTTACAGTAATTGAGGTCCTGTAGGAAGCCTTCTTAAAGTTATCTGGCTCTCATTATGGTTTATATGTAATTGTAATGCCAAGGACAGGGGGCATAGTGGCCAAGAGGGCAAGCCACTGGGCTTGTCAACCAGAAGGCTGGTAGTTCAAGACCTAAGTATCATATGATGGAGTGAGCTCCCATTCTTACCCCAGCTCCTGCCGCCCTAGCAATTTCAAAAGTATGTAAATACAAGTAGATGAATAAGTACCATTTTGGTGGGAAGCTAACAACTTTCTGGTGCACCTTAGCATATAGTCATGTTGGCCACGTGATCACAAAAGCATCTTTGGACAATGCTGGCTCACTCGACTAGGATGAGTGCTGCCCCCTAGAATTTCTTTCTTCAATTTTTAATGCCCAGGAAGGAGATCCAAGGATCCTATGCCTCAGTGCTCAAGCATGAAAATGATTAGTTGCTGGATCAAAGTTGTGGCTATTTATGATTTTTAGCCCAAGAGACAGTGATGATGATGGTGATGACAAGTTGACAGGTTTCCCTATGGGAGGACTTTGCAGCTGGTTAAAAGTTTTGGGAAGCAGGAGATTTGGCAATGGGAATTTCCCAAGGACCACTTAGGAGAGCAAGTCTATTTCCACGACCAAGAAGTTCACATTCCAAAGGAATCAGGACTTCAGCAAAATCAGATGGTAGGATATTTCCTAGATCAAGCCTAAGAGTTGATTTCCAGACTGCTACGGATTGAAGCACCTGTTATGAAACCAGCCAAATTCCCAATTATCAGTGAAGGGACCCACCTTCCTACAAAGAGAAATTTCCTGACAGAACAATCAGTGGAAAGACTTGTCTCAGCAGGTTATGGGTGCTCCAACACTGGAGATGTTTAAGAAGAGATTGGATAGCTGTTTTTCTAGAATGGTATAGGATCTCCTGCCTAAGCAGTGGGTTGGACTAGAAGACCTCCAAAGTTCCTTCCAACTCCAACTCTATTCTATTATTCCTGGATCATCAGGAGACTATTTGAAAGAAAATCAAAGAAGTCTTTACAAACTACCTGGAGATAGATTGATTCTAAATGGGAAATAGTTCAGTTGCTGGAATTCTTGTAACTCCATCTAGTTCATCTCAATAAATCTTGCTAAATGCTCCCCAGGAAATCTTGCTTGAAAAAAAAAAACGTTTAAGTAGATGCTGAAGACCCAACCATAGGCTGTTCCCAGCCCCAGCATCCAGTCACGGGCAGGCTGCTGCCAAAAGCCCAAAGATTTTGCAGTTTGAGTGGTCTAGTTAAGGGCTGAAATGAATGCCTGCATATTTGCAGAGAGTTAATTACACTTGACCGCTTTAAAAATTCAAACCCCATAGAAAAGAGACACCTCCCCGCTCGCTCCCTCCTTTGGTGTCATATGCTGCCTAAGATCTTTGTCATTACAAAAGCAACTTGTACCTCCCATACTCAGTAAGCTGCCCCTTCCCCTGTTAGACCTTTATAGCAGTAGGCAAATGAATGAGACGATGTCATGGCAAGACCCCTGCAGTTTTAAAACTCGTACTCCAAAAAGAAGACACAAAAGCTTTCTCCCCAATGTGCTATCATTCTTTGCATGATGACTTTTGTTGAATGCTCATTGGGAACATTAAAATATATAATTTCCTGGCTGGAACCTGTATTAGTTCAGCCAAGCAAAACGTTAAGAGATCAGGTAAGGGAAGATTGGAGCGGTCCTTTGCAATTTTTGCCAAGAAAAATATAGTGGTGTGTCATAATAAATTTAATTAACAAAGGCTCCTTCTTGCGCACAAAATATCTCCCCATGAAGGATGTTTCCTCTTGTGTATCTGAATGATTCTCAGCATTAAACTGAGCTGCTTCAAAGCATTCTTCCTTGGAATAGAAGCAAACCACTGTATTTTTGTATTAGTTGCCCACTGGATTGTTCCTGATGCGAAAAGGTAGTTGAACTAGCTGCTTGCTGTATTGCCTTGTGAGTAGGCAAAGAGACAGCAGTCAACTTCCCCAGAAACCAATTGCTTTAGGATCATCCAATCATTCCTGGAATAAAGGAATTTGGAGTTGATTTTGAAGGCATGAAAGAAGTGACAGAGAGGCACTTAAAGAAGTGACTTCACAGATGGGTGAAAGAAACTCAAAATAAGCCTGGCCTTGATTTTGTGTAATACAAGATAGGTCAGAGAAAGACTTCCATTATCCTACCCTATAACCAGGGTCAGATTAAGGTTAACTGATGCAGTGTCGTTTGCGCTCCCTGAGCTTGATTTTGTAGATGTTTCAACCAGGTAGCATCATCAGTGCTAGAAGGGAGTGGGGCTTGCTCTCTCTTATTCAAGTGACTTGCCCTGTCAATGTTGGTCTTGGTAGTTCCTTGATTAGATGTTGTTCAATGCTAGCTTGTTTGTCTGAGTTGGAAGCTCCTTGATTGTTGCTGCTTGATTGTTATTCTAATGTTAAACTGGGCATGAAATTTCTGTTTATCAGGGTGCTGATTACTGATGATGGGTATTTTGGTCTTTTTGTTTCTTTTGTAGCTTTTTGATTGTGTCTCTTGAATGTTTGTTTATATCTATGCCCTAAGCCCAGTCAAACATTGGTGCCTGTCATCTTTCCCATGGCATAAATGACAAGCCATTAAGACTCTTTCAGTACTGAAAATTAAAATTGAGCATCACCATGAAAGCATTAAGGACAGGATAGTTCATAGAATCATAGAGACCTTGGAGGTCTTCTAGTCCACCCCTTATCCAAGGCAGGAATCTTTATACCATCCTGGTTGTCCAAATAAAACCTTCGGGATGGAGTATCCATAATTCTGGGAGGCAAACTGTTCCATTGATTAATTGTTCTCACTGTCTCTTGATTTCCAGGTTGGATCTCTCTCTGATGGGCTTCTACTAGTTAAGAGGAACTAGTGGTTTCTTTCCCCCTCCCCTCCAATCCCCTAGTGTCCTACCCACATCCTTATTCTCCTTAAAGGTTAATCCATGGCTGCCAATATAGAGAGGCTACAATAATAGAGTAGTATCTCTGTTTCTTGACCTGGCCAACCTCAAAGGAGTGACACCCAGTGAAGAAAACCAATGGCTTTTCTTTAGAGGCGGCACACTTCCAATGGTGTCACCTAGAGGAATTCTGGGCATGGATTACGTTCCTCCAAAGAAGATTAATTTGGGTACATTCTTCATGTGCCAGGACATGAGGCATAATATATGCCTCCAAAACAAAATCTGAGACTAAAACGTGACCCACTGATATTAGAAATTTGGGGAGAGTATCTGCTTAAGTGGGAAAGCCAGGCCCAACTCTTGTCTTGACAAATAGCCATGGGTGATCGTATTATAGAAGTTGTTGTTGTTGTTATTGTTGTTGTTGTTGTTGGCAATTGCCCCATATCTTAAGATCCTCTGGATCTGATAAAGGTGCACCCTTGAAAAGAGAGTACCTCTTGAGGGATGGGAAATGAATTTCATTGGTTATGTTACCCCTTGTGATCACAACTCCAGGTGAGAAGAGAGGCCATTATAGTTTAAACAAGATCTGAATTATTAATAAATGGGTTTAATCATCCATGGAATATTTAATTAAAGCAATTATCAGCTAGCCTCGTTGCACTCTTCTGATCCAAAAGGTGTCTTTCCATCCTCAGAGCCCCTTGATCAGGTCCTTCAGCTCAGAGGAAAGCAAATTAAGAGAATATGCATGCACATGTGTGAATAATCTCTACCTCACATCAAGCTCAAGTCTAAGAAACCAATTTAGGGTAACTTGCCACAATTTTATGATCTAGATGAAGAATGGCTATTAAAATGGATAACGTTTAATAACTCAGGGATGGGTTTCTACTGGTTTTGTCCACCTCTGTAGAACCGGTAACTCTTAAGAGCAGCAGATGTCTGCTGATGTTTTTGCCCACCCGACCACCTCATCTTTATTTCCTGATTTTTCAACTTCAGATGCCAAATGACCAGCAGTTAAAAAAGTGGGAAAAGAGGGCTGCTTCAAAGGCTGCTTCTCTGCACGCAGCATTCTGATGATGATTTACAGGCGCACAGCCCGCAGTGTGCAGGGAAGCACATCATAAATCACCAAACCTCATAAATCTCGAACTGGTAGTTAACCCTGTCGTATCCCACCCTTGTAATAACTGCAACCAATCAGATCATGGAGATTAAAAAAAAACAAAAAACACCCACTTCCAGAAATGCAGCTGCCCCAGAAAAAAACATGGAGCCCCCTGAACAGCATCAGGACAAGCCATACCAGAACAAGGCAAAGCCGTTTAAATTGGGAATGGCTGAGAACCTGCAATTGTGACTGTGCTGTACCAGAACAAACAATAACATATAGTTGGAGGATGTCTCCTCAGGAAATTTCAAGGCATCTGGGATGATCTCATCGCTGTCATACAAAGACAGTTAGATAGTTAGCTTCCTTAGATATTAAACAATGACATCTATCCTATTGCACTCTATGGTACTGCAGTGTGGTGATTTTTTTTCATGGTTTTACCTTAATTTAATATTTTATCTCATATCTTGTAGTGTCTCCATATTTTATATGTACATACTTGCTGATGCTCTACTTAAACTTAGATTTGTGTTTGTATGTATAATGAGTTTTATTAGTATTGTATATCAGTGTCTGCATGATCTCTGTAGATGCCATATTCTAAATAAATAAATAAAATGATGTGTGAATAAGAAAAGAGAACAGAGAGTATGTGCCATGGGGTTCAGAAGCCCCTAATCCTTTCCAACTTCCACTCCCTTCACTGCAGCTGCAAGCAAATGGGGTCCATGGAGTGAATGGAATCTGTGCTCCAAGACTTGTGACACTGGCTGGCAGAAACGTTTCCGGATGTGCCAGGGGATGGGAACACAAGACTATCCCTGTGAGGGCAGCGGGGAAGAAGTGAAGACCTGCAATGAGAAAAAATGCCCAGGTATTTGGCATTAGGGCACTTGGCATACGGCAGTGTTCCTCGAAAGGGATGGGTGGAAAAGTTCTCTCGTGGGGTTTTTCTACTGGTTTTAATTCAGTTTAAAGTGGGTTTTCCTGACCTTGGCAAATGGAAGGTGCGTAGATTTTCAACTCCCAGAATTCCCCAGCCAGTCATGTTGGCTGAGGAATTCTGGGAGTTGAAGTTCATACATCTTAAAAATGTAGGAGGAAAAGAAATTGCAAATTGTGCAGGACAGAAAGATGACCGTCCAACAAAAAACTGAAATCAGAAGGTGTCTGGCAGCACCTGTTCTACCTTAAATTTTATTCAAATCTGAACAGATGCTGTCAGACTCCCCACCCCCATCTTATGGTAACACGGTTTTCCTCCTACAATATGCATGGCTGGGTTTTCATTAGTATCTGTGGCCATTTTGTCATCCCAAAAAGGGGCAAGTTGACACAGGTTGTCAATCTTGGGAGGTACTTCAGATAAGAGGCAAACCCAGAAGTATTAGCTGTATCTTTATTGCAAGACTACATCAACATAGTCTTGCAAGCCTGAAAATGCATCTCCTCCACTTTGCTTTTACAGCCCAAGAAACTAGGAAGGGTCCTTTCTGACAATTTTTCTCCATCCACTTTTATTCTCTGGGCTCAGCTGTCTCTTATCTAACCGTTGCTTAGTCTACAACCTTCCCTCCTGTATCCCAAAGTCTTTCCCAGGGACCATTACACAGCTTCATCCTTGGGGATATATTCTAAATCAGGGGTCCCTAATCCTGGGTCTGTGGTCCAGCACCAATCCGCAGCATGCCAGAAACTGGGCCGCACAAACAAGCGAAGCCCCCATCCACAGGACGCAGGCAGCACACGAAACCATGCTCCCTCCAGTCCATGGAAAAACCTCTCTCCACAGAACCGGTTCCTGGTGCCCAAAAGATTGGGGGCCACTGTCCTAAATGTCTTGCCCTTGAAATAAATTTAAAAGCACATTTTAAATTAGATGTGAGAATTGGGGGCGGGGGGGAGACGGACGAGATAATTCATCTGCATCAGAGGTGGTATTCAGCCAGTTCTGACCAGTTCTGGAGAACCGGTAGCAGAAATTTTGAGCTGTTCGAAGAACCGGCAAAATACCTGCATTGACTGGCCTCGCCCCCATCTATTCTCTGCCTCCCATCGAGTCCCAGCTGATTGACTGGGTCTCCTTTGGTTGCCCTGCCCAGGAGAACGGAGGTGGAAAGCAGGTTAGTGGGTAGGGAGGGAATGGGGATTTTGCAGTATCCTTCTCCTCCTCCCCCCCCCACCCCCAAGCCACCCCACCCCCACCAAGCCACACCCACAGAACCGGTAGTACATTTGTTTGAATCCCACCACTGATCTGCATTTGCTTAATTTGGTGACAGACCGTTACATCTGTTATGTCTGTTCTTCTTTTCCCCGTCATCTTACCTTTGGACTAACTTTGCTAGGTGGGTGTATTTGTTCTGATGCCCTACCTCCTCCTTCTCTCCTTCCAGCCCTCCATGAGATGTGCAGGGATGAGTCTATTGCCCTGATGACTTGGAAGAAAGCTGCAGCTGGCGAAACAGTCTACAACAAATGCCCATCCAATGCTACAGGTAGAAAAGTGCCTGGGTAGAGATTGACAATGTAGGTTTTCCAAACTGGAGCCTGAAATGCCAGAGGGGACAATTGGAAAGGAGAGATTAATTTATGAATGAGACACCTTTTCTAAACTGGTTTTCACTCTGAAAACAGAAGGCCACCTTAGTTGACTTTAATAGCAAGCAACCTTATGGATTCCAGATGTGTCAGACTGTTGGTCCCATCATGGTCAAGGTGACTGGATTAGATGTTACAATGCAATGCCAGAAGTTTTTTCCTTTATTGAATCCTTCAAAGAAAATTACATATACAAGAGGAAATGTGAAAAAAATGTAAAATAATATAATGCAGATAAATGAACTGGGGACTTTAAAATGTCAGTGAGGTCTTAAATATCATTAACATTGTGAATAATTAAATACACTATATAAATCCTCTTAAGAGACTAAAAACCCCTCTTAAACCCAAGCTAAAAATGACTAGCAAAGACCACAATCAACATAATATAAATTGAATAACACTGCACATTGTGGTAAATTAAAATCCATCTTAATAAAAATCTGTTTGGATATAGATGAATTATACAATTGAAATGCATATTCCATGCATAAATAAATCCCCAAGTTAAATGTAGTACCACTTCTTATTTTAAATCAAAGCCTCGGAATATTTCTCATTAGAAGTTGCAATCTTTGGTCAGGTTTGCTTTTCAAGTAGGAAGCAATTCTAGATGTTGAGCAATGACAATACCAATAAAAAGAAGCCAGAAGTGGTTTGTCTGCCCAGCTGGTTAGCTTATAATACAACCCTGGTCAATCCTCCTTCAATTTATTGTACGTCAGTGTCATTCTTCCTTCTGAAAGGAATTTCCAATTTTGCTTGTGACCTTTGGTTTATAATATCCCACAATGGAACATTCCTCACTCTAGTGCTGTGGATAGAGCCTCGCCTTCCATCCATCGCCAACATTTATTGAATTAAAAAAATAATTGATTCCCAGCAATGTGCATCTTCTCCTTGAAAAAAAATAAAAATAAAAGCAACCACTGTTTCTGAATTTGGAGAAAGCTATACTTTTTGCAAGCCTTCTTTAAAAACAAATTTTCAAACAGGATTGGTTTGACCCACGATGAAACGTGGGATATTTTAGTAGAATGGAAAGAAGCAAAACTCTTCAATATTATTCTGATTCATTATGAAGTGGGGAGAACAGGGCTGACCTGGGTGCCATTCAAGATGCTGTTTGTCACCTTTAAAACCCTGCACGGAATGGGGCCAGGTTGCTTATGAGACTGCTGTCAGCACTTAACCCCATTTAAATCTTGAGTCTCAAGCCATTCTTCCAAAACTTCAAAAGGATTTATTGGGAGTTAAAACATCCAGCACTACCTGGGTATAACCAACTACACCATCCCCGATGGTTTCTGCCAGGTTCCCCTGTCAGGTGCACGACTCCACGAGCATCTTTATTGTTGTTCTCTTTGCAAGAATCTCACCAGACTAACTTGCAAGATTCTCTTGGGAACAGGCAGATGAAGGCTTTAGAAGTCTGGCCTCTGTCGGTTCCTCCCATGGAGTGACTCTAAGCCAACCAGCCTCTTCCGCTGTTGTCGTGGAATCTCCCCCACTATCTAGAGATTCCACAACGCCACATCAGTAAGCAATGACATTGATGGGCCCCAAGAGATGTACCTTCCCTATTACATTCACTGTCTTGTAGAACAACCCCTGATGGCCACAATCCTATTAATCTTTCAAAAGCTTTCCCCCTCAGCGTTGTCCTGGGAATGTTGATAGAATTCTGATTCAGTTATGGTTTTGTGTTAATAATGAAATTTTTAGGGGCCATGACCCATTTTCTTACGAATCAGATCAAACATAGTCTGGTTATGTTTTATGTCCATTTGCTGCCTGGAGTTCCTTGTATAGATGGAAAACTTTATAAATTTTTTAAATAAAGAAATGGAGAGGTCCATGCTTCAGCTAAAAAGGAATGGCTTGGTTTTTATCTTCTAAGAGGAAAAAAAAAACTCAAGGTATAATCAAATATTTGGGGCTAGTACTGCTACAGTAATAAGGAACCATGGTCGGCCCTGTGGTAAGATGGGCAGCCAATACATTTAATAAATGAAATAAAAATAAAGGAGACATGAAATACAGGTAGTCTTCAGCTTACAATGGTTCCTTTAGTGACTGTTTGAAATTACAACAGAGCTGAAAAATGTGACTTATGATCATTTTTCACACTTATGACTGTTACAGCATCCCCATGGCCACGTGATCAAAATTCAGAACACTTGACACCTGATTCCTATTTATGCAGTGTCCCAGGTGATATGATCACCTTCTGCAACCTTCTGAGAAGCGAAGTCAATGGGGAAGCCAGGTTCACTTAACATTTGTTGCAAGAAAGGTCATAACATGGGGCAAATATAACCAATGTCTCACTTAACAAATATCTCACTTAGCAACAGAAATTGTGGGCTCAATAAGTTGAGGACTACCTGTAATGTGATTGTACTAAGAGCCCTTCTCTCTCACTTGAGATTGGCTTCCCCATCCGACTCTCCTTTCACTTAAAATACTGCTAAGGTCACAATCTGCCCACTTTCAAACTCTCACACTCTCCTGAGCCATAAACATGATAAATAATAAACACTTTTGAGAAAGCAAATTGGAAAGATGTTTCTGTTTCTTTGTTTCAGTAATGTGTCAGAATGGGCACGATTATTTAGAAAGGCAACAGCAGTATTAGCACGGAAGCCAGGAGCGTTAGGGGATTTGGAAGCTGTTGCGTTGGATTTTCACTTCCATCATTTCCTATTCTGTACTTGAAGTTGAAAAGCATTTTTTTCCCAAATAAAATGCAATACATTGGATTGCCAGATCCAAAGGGTTTAGATCTCCCCTGAGGCATTTCTTCCATAGATCCCATTTACTTCCAAGGACTTTGGGTTGAAAAAGTAATGCAATACTGTATTTATTCTCTCTCTCCCTCCCTCCCTCCCTCTTTCTTTCTTTCTTTCTTTCTTTCTTTCTTTCTTTCTTTCTTTCTTTCTTTCTTTCTTTCTTTCTTTATTTGCAACTGAAAATGCTTTAATAAGGCAATTCAGGCAGAGAAAGACTACCTGCTGTAAAAGCAAAATAATATGCCCAAATTTAAAACTGAGGAACATTAACCAGTTTTGGTTTGTTGCTAAGCCTTCCTATTAAATGCCCACCAAATATTTGCAAGAGTCAAGGATTCCATATGCACTTGTGGCCATTGTCTTGACACTTTTGAACTCCCCACCTCCCTGGTGGGAGTCAGAGTTTCTTAATTCATTGGCATCTGAATTAAAGGACAGGTGCCAACCCATTAGGGTCACTTCAAACCCATCGCTCTCCAACTTAACCACTGAGGAATAAGAGACTGAATTTGGTGGGGCTGGATGTGCTGGCCTCTTGAATGATGGGCACTAATCAGTGACTTGCTTCTTTTTCTAGGATCTGCCAGCCGACAGTGCCTGCTCAACTCTCATGGTGCGGCTTACTGGGGCCTGCCCAGCTTCGCACGCTGCATTTCCCACGAGTACCGATATTTACATCTTTCAGTAGGTGCAATTTTTTGCAAGGCAACTGTGGCCCCTGGAAATCCTCTCTTCTGTATCACTTGACCCACCTCCTCTCTGGTTCAGAGAAGGGCATGACATGGTAGAAGAGGAGGTACAGAACTGTGGGCAAAATATATAAAATACATAATATCCAATTCTCTTTGCAATAGTGTCAACATCCAATGTTAACTGAGTCAAGATGTGAACTTGCAACGTGGAATGAGCGAGGAATTTTTCCCTTCTGGGATTCAGGGTTTGGGGGGTATCTATAAAGCAGGGTTAAAACATTGCTAAACTCCTACCTTGGAGAGATTTTTTTTGGTATATTAAAGGAGAACTGAAAGTAAGTAAATAGGTGCATATCTCAAAAATAAAATTAAGCCAGGAAGGCAGCAGAGTCTCTGGAAAGTGTGCTGCAGCTACCAAAAAAGCCAACACAGTTCTAGGCTGCATTAACAGAGGGATAGAATCAAGATCACATGAAGTGTTAATATCATTTTATGATGCTTTAGTAAGCCCACATGTGGAATACTACACCCAGTTTTTGTTACCACAGTGTTAAAAAAGATATTGAGACTCTAGAAAGTGTGCAGAGAAGAGCATCAAAGTTGATTAGAGGACTGGAGGTTAAAACATAAGAAGCATGGTTGCTGGAATCGGGTTTGTCTACTTTAATGAAAAGAAGGACTAGGAATGACATGATAGCAGTGTTCCAATATCTCAGAAGCTGCCACAAAGAAGAGGGAGTCAAGCTATTCTCCAAAATACTGAAGTCAGGACAAGAAGCAATGGATGGAAACTAATCAAGGAGATAACCAACTGAGAACTAAGGAGAAATTTCCTGACAGAACAATTAATCAGTGGAACAACTTGCCTCCAAAAGTTGTGAACGCTCCAACACTGGAAGTTTTTAAGAAGAGACTGGATATCTATTTGTCTGAAATGGTATGGGGTCTCATGCCTCATCAGGGGTTGGACTAAACATCTCCAAGATTCCTCCCAACTTTGTTATTCTATTCTATTCTATTCTATTCTATTCTATTCTATTCTATTCTATTCTATTCTGTTCTGTTCTGTTCTGTTCTGTTCTGTTCTGTTCTGTTCTATTCTGTTCTATTCTACACTACTCTATTGTTCATTCATTCTCTATTCTATTCTATTCTATTCTATTCTATTCTGTTCTGTTCTGTTCTGTTCTGTTCTACTCTACTCTACTCTACTCTACTCTACTCTACTCTACTCTAAAGAGAAACCTCCAACTCAAACGAAAGAACCTCTCTCAGCCACACTGGTAGTCTTTGACATATGACCATAATTGAACCCACAATTTTGGTCAATTTTGGTCATTGTGATGGTCATAAAGTAGGCCACCACATTATTATGACTTTTTTTGGATCATCATTAAAGCAAACACCATGGTTGCTAAGCAAATGTCATGATGAACACTATCATCATTAAGCAATCACCATGGTTGTTAAGTGAACCCATTGTTCAGCATGGGTGTTTTTTGCCAGAAATAACAAGTACATGCTGGTTTCTTGCAAAAACAATGCACGTTGCTGTCTCATGGGGGTGGGGTGGGGAGGTTGAGATGTCAGAATGTCAAATCCTGAGCAGTTGTAACTTTGAATATTCACTAAGTGACCACCCATAAGTCAAGGGCTATCTGCAGTCTTCAGGCAGCAAGAGAAAACCATCAAGTCCTGGAGCTGTAAAACCACTCAGAGCTGAGGGATGGAGGAGGAAGAGAGGCTGTTCTATCATCCCACTGCTATCACTTTGCAACTATTTCTATTCATATTTAATCTCCAAATCTCTGTCTCTGTGCTCTATTTCAATGTTCCTACCCCCATGCTTGTTGCAAGCAGTATGTTTCGTTATCTCAACTATTTCTTTCCTCTTTAAATGTTTTCTTTTCCCCACAGACCTTCAGCTCTTGCAGCCAGTCTCTCAGTCCATTTACACATAAAACCCCTTGTCCCTCCTTTATAGACAGGCGTAGAATAGCCTTTTCTCTCTCCTCACCCATCACTCCTAGTCCTCTGTTTTTGGAGCTGCGTCAGGTCCAAGGAGCCAGGATGGACATGCAGAGTTACTTCTGACTACTTCGCTTTTAGACCGGAAATCATGTGGGACCAAAGCCGTTATCTGCATAACTATTAAATTGTATGCTATGAAATGCTGGGAGGGCCAGCCTTCCCTCTCGGTCTGCATTCCAGAGATTCCAAGTTTCTTTGCCTCTTTGCTCCCTGGGAAGGAGTCCTTCCCTCCTGCAACTCTAGACTACAAGAGTCCTCCACAAGCTAGTTCTTAAAGCTCTAGACCTGGGCTGCTGCATGTGGTGGGCTTGATTGGGTTTTCAGGCTTTTGTGGGCTTTCAGGTGGTTAGTTGGACTGTCTTCCTCCCCCATCACTCGGTTCTGCCTCTCTATGGTCTCTCAGCTCTGAGATGTGACAGAATACCAAATAGTAGAGTTGGGAGGGACCTTGGACATCTTCTAATCCTGCTGATCCTATACCATTATGACGCTATACCATTATGGAAAACTGGTTGTCCAGTCTCTTCTTGAAAACATCCAGAGATGGAGCACCCACAACTTCTGGATTTCTCCTTAGGTCCAGCTTGGATCTCTCGTCAATGAGAGAGATCTTCCACTCAGTCCTTCTCGTCCTTCTCTTCTGATGCTTTGGAGAATAACTCCAGCCCCTCTTCTGTGTGGCAGCCCCTCAGATAATGGAAGATTCTTTTTTTTTCTTGCTGCCTGAAGACTACTGAAGACTGCTAAGTTGCCTGATGTTGGGTTGGAGGTTTCTCTGCTTTCGTCTTGGCTTCTGTCTTGTTTCTGCCGTCTTCCTAGCTGAACTTTCTTGATACACCAACAGACATACTTACTTTCAGGTCACTTTTTGTAAAACCAACTCTCCAGTGAAGAAGAAGGGTGGTGGTTTTAAGCCTCCTCTCCAGGTAGTACAAAAATCCTGGATCCCAGGAGGGAGAAAAAAAAAATACTTGCTAATTCCAGGTACAAGTTGACTCTTCCATAGATATACAAGACAGAATTCCCTGAGAGAATTGCTACTTCCAATCATTTTCCTCAAAATCCCACATTGATGTTTTGTCTTTCATGCACACCCTCATCACCCACACTCACACCCCCACACACCCAACTTTAAAAACATGTAGAGGATCAGCTTGTCCCCTCTTTCAAATCCTCACATAAAACCTAGTTCAATCAGTCTCTGGTAGCTGGTGTTAAGATTGATTTTTACTAGATTTATAGCTTTCCCTTTCATTCAGAATCAAATCAGTGTATGTAGTACGGCCTCCTTCCATGTTCCCCAACTACAACCCAGTGAGATAGACTGGGTTAAAAGAGAGGAAGCTGTTCAAACTTATCCAGGAAGTTCCATAGATGAGGGAAGGCTCGAACCTGGAGCCCCCTGCTCTCAGTCCAGTACCTCTTACTACATTTACTGTCTCTCCTTGCTATGACAGAAAATAAAAATGCCTACAAATACTCTGGCAATAAAGATGAAAGAAACGGTGTTAGGAATTATTTCATCAAATTAATATTGGCTGAGCAGTATAATCCTATGTGTGTTGATTTCTCAGTAAATTCTCACAAGGGAAAATTGAGGTTTGTGTTAATCTGGCTGAGCATGGAAGCTGTGCTCTTTAGCTGAGTTGCCAAAAGTTGCTTACCTGGACAATCTTACTAATTCAAGTCTTAAGAAGTAGGGAGAAAAATAAAGATCTTGCCTTAGGGAGAAAATTGAAGAGATCCAGAAACCTTGTATTTTTCCATTTCTGCTGAGTTGTTTCCTAGGATTTTCCCTCCGTAACTTGTGGGTAGAATTTAAGAAGGGTTGCTTAAGCTTTCCTAGAAGCTCTTGAAAGTGTTAACCACTGACCTTAGAAAGTATTTATAGAGAGTTGAAGATTTGGTATAGAGAAGTCCATCCTGACTCTCTCTCTCCTAAACGGTGCAAAGATCTAAATCAACTGAACAACTTCCAGGACTTTAGGTTCAGCTCCTGCTGAAATTCGGTTCTTTTTATGGGCTTCTGTGGAGGTCCTCTTCCCAAAGTTGAGGAGAAAGCTCATCTAGTGCTAATCAGTTGGTGCAGAATCAGTTGGCTTCAGAAGGAGCAAAAGTCCTGACTACCATGCAGAAATCTCTCGGGTCTTCATCATAATATTTAAGGAACAAGTAGAAGTCCTAGGATGTTGTAATGACATTTTTTCATGTGTTGGGCCTGAAGAGCAAACATATCTTTGGTTGTAATCCGTGACCTGACCTTGTTCCCTTTCTCTTCCTCTCCATCTCATCCTTAAGCTCCGTGAGCACCTGGCTAAGGGCCAGCGAATGCTGGCAGGTGAGGGCATGTCACAAGTGGTCCGTAGCCTGCTGGAACTTGTTGCCCGCCGAAGCTATTACAGTGGGGACCTGCTGTTCTCAGTGGAGATTTTGCGCAATGTCACAGATACTTACAAAAGAGCCACCTATATTCCTTCCTCAGATGACGTGCAGGTATTATGTTGACATCTGAAGGAGAAGAAACCATTCTTTGACTAAGTCCATGAGGTCGTTGGAGCTGAAGAAACTGGCTGCATTGCATATGCTGAGATTGGGAACTTGGTGTCCAAATAACCTCATGCTTGCTGACATCATCATGTAAAACTATGACTCACATGCTTGCTTCTAATTGCAGCATGTCCATAATAATGCCATCAAGCTCATATTGTTATTTTGACATCAGAGTTTGGGGATCGCTACTGCTGCTGGGATGCTACTGAGATTGGGAAGATTATGGGTTAGGATGCTGAGTTGGGGAGACAATCCCTTTCTTTAGGAGCTAAACAAAGTAGGCCATCATGGGCAGACATTATATATCTATTTGTTTAGGCACCGTGGGACAACAAGAACACATCACATGGCTTTTTTTAAGCCCAATCATCCAGGCCCCACATTGCTTACAATGGCTAATCAGTAGTTTATTGACAGGCGTTTCTTCAGCTAAATCTGGACATGTTAGGGCTGAACTTGTATGAAAAAGCAGTTTTTCTACCTCTTGATCTATGCCCCACTAGGAGGCATTTGTGGAGAAATGCAAAAGAAACACATTACAATGACTAGTGGGATATCTCAGGTGGATTCTTCCTCTTAATTTTTGAGCCTGTTCGTATTGCGGCTTTACACAAAGGCAGGGAACGATAAAAATTGCTTAATGTTAAATTGTATACAAACAGAGCCATTTCAGCCTCCAAAATAAATAGAACTCATTTTTTTTTGAAAGCTTGAAATATGGGCATCACTCCGAATATGCACATACAAGTGGGGAAGGGTAGATATGTACAGAATTCTACATTTAATAATGGCAGGAATGACTTGCAATCACAGGGGGTCCTAGAAAATGCTTCTGAATGTTTAAAAAATGAGCATGAATATTCAAGCAAAATATTTTCAGCCAAATATATAAAGAGATATAAAAATGGGGTTGAGTGGAATTTGCTGCTGGGAAATTGAGAAAACTGCCTAAGGCCAATTTGTCATAAATATTATAACTGTTTTGCACCATCTGGTCTCTTTCCTTCACCTTCTCCTCTCTCCCTCCAGCGTTTCTTCCAGGTTGTGAGCTACATGGTAGATGCAGAAAACAGGGAGAAATGGGAAGATGCACAACAGGTGTGTTGCTGGCCATGGACCTGTGCTTCTGGGGGATTTGGAAGTCTCTCATTCCCACTGGAGTAGGAATTAATTAATCATTAATTCTGATTCCTGCATTCCCTGCACAGGTGTTGCCTGGTTCTGTCCTTCTCATGAAAGTGGTTGAAGATTTCATCCATCTGGTAGGAGGTGCCCTCAAGGCTTTCCAGAGTTCCCTTATTGTTACTGACAACTTGGGTAAGCAACTGGAAGGGACTGGACAGATGAATGGTTTCTTTGGGGCTTGGGACAGGGAATGGGTTCTGGGCAATGACAGAGTCTTCTTCAGGCCTAGTCTCTTGCAACCCATTGTAAACTTCATGGTAGAGCAGAGGGAGGTGATTTACAAGATGTATGCAGCTCCCAGCATCCATCTTATGGCTTCTGGAAATATCTCTAGTTAACATTATAAAAATTGTGGGATTGTTTTTTTTTTCCCACCCACAAAAGTTCACAACTATTTTTCACTTAATTCACTTCTTGAAGAAAGTGTTTCAAACTTCTTTCCTGCTTCTTTGAGATACCACCATATCCTAAGATGTGTCCCTGTATTTCCAAGAGATTGAAAACATTTTAATGGATCTTAAGCAAAAGAGGGTGAAGAATGAAAGATGAGGCAGGGAAGGATATTGATCTCCAAGCTGGACAAAAGCAAAAGGCTAAGTTTCTTCCAAAGCCTTCCTTCTTTTTTTTCTGTTCTGGAAGTTCTGCCTCTCACTTATTGTCCTACTGTCTTCGGTGTCCTACTATCATTGATAGTAAACCAGCTTGCATCCATTGCCTCTGATGGTGAGTTTCCTAGCTGTTACTCTAGAACTGGCCCAAGGAAATCCTTCTAGGCCAAGAGTGACTTACAACTTTTGAGAGCCTTTGGTTGGCATGCTCACAGAATGCCTACCAAGGGAAACTTGCCTGTTCCCAACTGGCTCCCTAGTGGGCGTGGTAAATCAAAAAACACACATTTTTTCAGAAGGTGAAGGAATTCATTCCCATCTGAAGATGCTGTGTGTAAGACTTTGAGGGACCCAAAGATGATTCTCCAAAAGAATATTCAGGTAGTCTTCAACTTTTGGAACCTGAATTTGGGTGGCTAAGTCAGGTTAAATGAGTCACACTTGATTATATGACCATTTTGCCATGGAGGATCACTGCAATTTAGTGAATCATACAATTGTTATGTGAATCAAGGTACCCACATACTTTTTGTAAGTTGATTGGGAAGGTTGCCAGTGGTGTCACAGGCACTGAGGGACACATTATTTGGAAACTTGACATGGTGATCACATGATCCCAGGATGTTTCAACTGTCATAAATGCATGCTGGTTGCCAAGCCCCCAAATTCTGATGAAATGACCATGAATGCTGGGATGGTGATAAGCATGAGGACTGGTTGTGAGTCACTTTTTTCAACATTGTAACTTGTAAGTCCCTAAATGAACAGTTGCAAGTTGAAGACTACCTGTAGATGTTAGCAGATGGTGTTATGTTTGCTTTGCAGTGTGTCCTCTGCATTTTTTAAAAATTAAAATAACCTTTATAAACCTGTAGTGAAATGGGAGTTTGATGGCCACCAAGGAAGGTGTTCTAAACCTCTTTTCTGTCACTGCTGTAGAAGGCCAAGGATGTGTTCTTTATTTCCTGAACTCTAACCCAGAGTAATACCCACTCCTCCTTTCCTCTTCTCCTCTCTGTCCCCTTTCCTCCCATGGCAGTGATTAGCATCCAGAGAGAGCCGGTTTCTGCTGTGTCCAGTGATATCAATTTCCCCATGAAAGGACGTCGGGGCATGAAGGATTGGGCCCGCCACTCTGAAGACAAGATCTTCATTCCCAAAGAAGTGCTCAATCTCTCCTCATCTGGTACGTAGCCTGCACAAGGGACTGACTCATTGAGGGTGGATAGAGGTGGGAGATAATGGAGACCTGGGGCAGTGGTGGGATTCAATTTTTTTTACTACCGGTTCTGTGGGCGTGGCTTGGTGGGCATGGCAGGGAAAGGATGCTGTAAAATCTCCAGTCAGAGGTGGTATTTTCCAGTTCTCTGAACTACTCAAAATTTCCACTACCAGTTCTTCAGAACTAGTCAGAACCTTCTGAATACCACCTCTGACCTAGGAATAGTGGTTAGAAGAGGGTTGGACAGCTTGAATAAGACATGTGCTCCCAGATGCTTTTCTGCCATTGAGTTAGGAGACAGTGGGTCTTTCTGAAGAATGCTAGGTTTTAGAAGAGATTCTCATCAAAATGCCTAGGACAGTGTCTCTCAACTTTGGTAACTTTCAGATGGGTGGACTTTAATTCCCAGAATTCTCCAACTCATTCCAACCCAGGAATTCTGGGAATTGACATCTACCCATCTCAGAGTTGCTAAGGTTGAAAAAAAACAGGCGTTTTGGGCATTGTCTTTTTGCTGAGGCCCTGCTGACATTTTGAGGACTACCCCTAATAGATCCATCAAAGTAATAAAGGTAACTATAAGCTGCATTATAAAAAAGAAGTTTTTCTTAGATATGAGCCTTCTGAATATTTCTCTCAAGAGTAGGAAAAAAAAAAACAGTTCACCCTCTGAAAACAGTTTTGACCTGAAAAAGACATAAAAATGATCTCTTTATGTAAATGATCTATGAGCAGCGGTGCCAGGTGGTGCAGTGGTTAGAATGCAGAACTGCAGGCTAGTTCTGCTGATTGCCGGCTGCCTGCAATTTGGCAGTTCAAATCTCACCAGGCTTAACTCAACCTTCCATCCTTCTGAGGTGGATAAAAATGAGGACCCAGATTGTTGGGGGGCAAAATGCTGACTCGTTTAGAGAGGGCTGTAAAGTGCTGTAAAGCAGTATTTAAATTAAGTGCTATTGCTATTCAGATCAGCAAAGTAGAATGATGGAGGGATAATGTTACTCCCAAGAAAGAGAAGGAAGAATTACAAAATGCTCTGTTCAGTTTTTTTTAATCCAATCTTTATAGATAAATTGGAAAGAGTTCAGAACATTTTAGATTTATTTGCTTGGGCATGACTGCCAAAACACCAGTTTTTAAAGCCAGATTCTTTTGTCTCTGACATTATTGCTAATCTTTGCTTACAGACATTATTATATAGGCTGGACTGAAGTGTTGTTATTATTATAACTGATTCACAGAGTTGGACGTGATAGTTCTAATTTTGATTTGGCATTCCAGTTATAGATTTTGTCTCAGCTATTGGGAAAGTCCAACTTTTTCCCCCAGATTTCTAATCAGAGGTGGAAATGTGAGGCTTAGATATTTATAGCCCCTTTTATATGATATACATGCATATGTTGTAAAGCTGAAATGAATGAACCTGCCATATGCTTGAATTTCCACTCAGAAACCAGAAAAATTATACCTTGGAATAAAATAATATATTTTAAAATCCTTATTGAGTTGTAAGGATTAGATCCTGTCTTACAGATACAGTTTGCTTTGGTCTTTCGCACAAGCATTAGCATAAGAAAGGATTGTCCAGACAGATATTCAGCTGATGCAGTTTCCTCAGGAACATGATAGAGATTCTGTAGGATTTTGCCACCACTTCTTTCTTTGTTCAGTATATAAATCACTTAATGCATTCCTAAAATCTTACAAATGTGTTCTTTCTGGCAGTTGTAGTTTTTGGGGTCTTCTCATTGCTCTGAGTCTTGTTTAAAGACACCAAAGTCCTGATGTTATGTCCCACAAATGGGCCTTTAGCTGCTGCATTAATCCACGTGGCTCTTGTCCTTCTTTCTCCCTCTGTCTGAAGAAACAGATGACTCGGCTTATTTTGTCATTGGCGCCATCTTGTATCGCACCTTGGGATTAATTCTGCCTCCTCCTAGGTGAGTAGATCTACCAGATTGCCACAAGATCTACCAAATCTACCAAAACTCCAGCCGGTAATGTGTTTGCAGCAACACATCTGTTGGTACATGTTTATTCTGAATGCATTCTCATTCCAGTGACATTGCCAATTTCACCAACAGAAGTCCTTTAGCGGTCATGTCCAAAGTTCTCACAGTGACAGTGAAGCCACCAACGAAGGCCGTGGAACCCTTGATTACAGTGGAGTTGTCCCATATTATCAATGTAAGTGTGGGGTCTCCTGACATCTTAGCCTTTGAGGTGGTTAGAATAGTCCAGCCCAGTATAATTAAAAGACAAGCTCTTGACTTAAACGTTCCATCATCACTTGGTGCTACAAAATAATGCTCTATGGCTGGAGGTTGAATAACCAAGGCCAAACCTGGTATGTGTGCAGAGGAAACCCTGGATGCAGAAGAACAGTTCTAGCATCCTTTTGTTGTCTGGGAACATAGTCAGGACTATGTCTATACAGGTTGTCCTGGACATATGACTGTACTGAAGCCAGACCATTAGGGTCATAAGTTGTGACAGTCATAAAACAGGTTATCTGATTTTATGACTGTTTTTTGTGGTGGTAATTAAGCAAATGTCATGGTCATTAGCAAATGCCACAGTTATTAACCAAACCAATGGTTTGCCATGCAAACAATTTTGCTAAAAACCAGAAGTAGATGCCAGTTTTGCAAAACTATTGTAAAACATGGTCATAATGACAATGGGGCATTGCCAACAGCCATAAATGTGGCCATGTTATCAAGCAGCGTTGGGTCACATGACTGTGGAAGGGGCCCAACCAGAGGAACATTGAACATTGAATGGGGTTGTAAGTCCCCATTCTAAGGTTGGTCATAACTCAAGGACTATCTTGCGTTTTGATATTGAAATGCGACTTTGATTTCAAGGGAATTTCCGTAATGAGTAGCATTAGTGACAGCCAACAAACACCTGTGGAATAAAAAGTTGCTGAGAGAAAGTATCAGAAAAATAAGTAGTATTGGAGTGTGTGTGTGTTTCTCTTTCTCTTTCTCTCACACACACAGACACACACACTATCTCCACGATAGGTAGTCCTTGACTTACAACCACAATTGAGCCCAAAATTTATGTTAAGTGATACATTTAATTAGTTTTGCCCCCTTTTATGACCTTTCTTGCCTCAGTTGTTAAGTGAATCACTGCAGTTGATAAGTTAGTAACCTAGTTGTTAAGTGAATCTGGCTTCCCCATTGACTTTGCTTGTCAGAAGGCTGCAAAAATGTGTTCGCCTGACCCTGGGACACAACTATGGTCATAAATATAAGCCAGTTGCCAAGCATTTTAATTTTGATGATATGATCATGGGGATGCTGCAAAGGTTGTAAGTGTGAAAAACAGTCATAAGTCACTTTTTTCAGTGCCATTCTAACTTTGAACGGTCACTAAATGAACTGTTGTAAGTTGAGGACTACCTGTATTTCATTTTTACTCCTGAAAAACTACTGGAGAAAAAGAAGATCAGGGTTTTTTTTGTTTGCTGTAGTTAGATCAGATCTGTTGTAATTAAGAGAGAATGTAATTATTCTTGCAATTTATACTTCATTTCTACCCCACCTTTTTGCAATATTTTACTGTCTAACAGGGAACATAGGAAACAGCAACACAGTTTAACGTGCATTGAATGCTTAGGCAGCCTCTGAAATCTTTACTGATATTCCCTCTGAAGAAGGAAAACCCACTTATCAATTAGAAATTAATATATGAAAATGGATGGATGGATGGATGGATGGATGGATGGATGGATGGATGGATGGAAGGGAGAGAAGAGGGACAGGGGGGGAAGGAAGGAAGGAAGGAAGGAAGGAAGGAAGGAATAGATGGATTTGTCACATCACCCTCTTTCTACTTGTCCTCCAGGGCACCTCACATCAACAATGTGTGACCTGGGAGTACACTAAAGTGTGAGTATATTTCGTCTTGCTGCATTAATTGAATTGTGTTATCAAGACACTGTGCCAATGATTGACATATATGCATGTCTGCAAGTTATTCAACCAATACCCTAATTTCTTACTCAAGAACCTTAACAAAAATGAAAGTACAAAACACAGAATCAGAAGTTTCAAAATGTAAACTAAACTAATTCTGAAGTTAGTTGCTTGGCTATTCAAGAGATAGTGTGAGTGACAATGATGGAAGAAGTTCCCAAGAATTGGATCTCCTTCTAATGTTGGAAGGGGTTCTCCTGTTGAAAAAGACTTGCCATTCATCTTTTGCTCTGCAAGCCTGCCAATAACCTGAGGGTGGTTGATTATACTCTTGATTTATTCCCAAATATAAGTGTAGGAGAACAGCTTTTGGTCTAGAGTGGCAAAAAAAATATCAGAAATCTGATAGCATTCTTTCTGATTAACAATCTGATTAAAAATCAGAAGCTTTCTTCCGCTGCATCTCACTTCATCATATCCATAGAGTAGACCAATGTAGGATTTAAACTGGAGAGGGCGGGGGAGGAAGGGAGGGAGGAGGAGAAGACAGGCTGCTTACCCATGAAACAGATTTTAAGTACCTTACCAATAAACAATTGTATTGTGTTAGAGCCCCATTGTGTTTCTTGAGAATGGCTGAGATTCCCTGACACCATATATTCAGATCAAATATATTTATTGATGAGATACTGATATGAAATGATACAATATATGAATGCACACGTACATCAAAAGGTGTCTCTGAACATTAGCCAGAAAAGAGGCTACCAGATTCTTCCCAATTTTTTCCCAGCATGAGAGAAACTGCAACTGTCACCTGGGAAAAGATTCTTCCCTGACTTACTCAGATAAGGAGTCCTTGAGATGATATGCAGTACCATGTTCTAGGCCTGGGTGGGAATCTAGGTGTGTACTTGCTCAGCAGAATCTTCTATGGAGTTGTGATAATACCATCTTAGAATGAAGAACTTTCAACGTTATATACATTGCTGAACTGGAATGTCAACAGTCATGTGTTACCCTACCCCTCTTCTCCATGAGGTGCATTGGTTGCCAGTTTCAAGGTCCAAGTCAAGGTACTGGTTTTCACCTTTAAGGGGCTTCATGGCATCTGTCAAGTGCAAGAAATCAGGAGATCCAGGCAGTCCAAGTGAATATAGAGGTTTATTGCAAGTTTAAGCTCTCTGTAAGAATCAGAACTACTAACAGTCAAAGTGAATTGACAGTAGAGAAGAGCCAATGGATTTGAAGGTGGGTTGGACTAAGATCTCTTGCGGCCACAAAGGGACTCAAGGCGGATGATGTGTTTGACTCTTCCCTTGGGCTCAACATGGACATTTCTTATAGCATTCGAGGGACCACATTTCCCAGGTTATATCAGCCTGTCTCATTAGATCTGTCGGAAAAGACATGTTGCAGGTACCTTTGGTTAAGAATCTTCATTGGATGGGTTCCAGAAGACATGTCTTCTTTTCTGTGGTGCCAGCTTTACAGGACATTCCCTCCTCTCCCCCTCAAACATTAAATTAGTTCCATCCACTTTAATATTCTGAAAAAAACTCTGGAGACCCGGCTATGTTGTCAGGCCCGGGGATGAAATGGCTCTATCATTCAGGTGGCCATTTTTAATCCTCCTGTATTTTTTTGCTTTTATCATTCTTATTAATATGGCTTTTAATGTTTTCTTTGTTGTTTCTGTACTTGTTGTTCTTTATCTGATTGTTGTGTACCACCCAAACTCACTTTTAGTGAGATAGACGGCTACATAAATCTGATTCATAAATAAATAAATGTGATTCTTCAAAATTTATCTGATAGCTCTGCTGCCTAAGATGAAATGCGGGTTATTAGTTCTGGAGAAAAGCAGAGAATTTCTGCTGGCACGTTGCTCATTTTTTTTCAGACTGAAGATTACAGATGGCCTTTGCTTTGCATGCCTGGTTCTGCATTTCAAGCAGAAGTGGGTGGGTCCAGGCCAGAAGCTAACTTTAATTTTCTTTCAATTAAATTTAAATTTAATCAACATTCATCATAGCTGATATGATTACTCTCTAGTCATATACATAGTGATTTTCCCCTTCGATCCTAATTAAGCATTACAGTTTGGCAGCTATTTTTGCAGACTTCTGATACCATCCCTCCAGGCTTTAGTTCTGTGTTCCTCTCCTCCACTTGGTTGCATTGAGCTGGAGCATCTTGTGTTTCGGAGATTTCTCAGGGTGATGTTGGTCAGATGGCAAAACTCACTTCTCCGTCTGTGAAAAGAGGATAATATCAGGCACATCTTTGTGCTAAGATATGATGAAATAGCTGAAGACATGACAGTAGTGACTTTGAAGACTGGGATCTGCCCAGGGGAAGACAAGGAATCCAAGTCAACAAATCTTAGCTAATGTCAGCTCCCTTCCAGACTGATATTTGAACTCAAAGGCTCGCAGGCAGAGATTGAAGAACGCAGTTCTTGATAAGATATATTTTTGTTACAGATACTAGAAAAGCTATTAATATGAAGAAAACCAACAGCTGCAAACTTAAGCCATATATTTAGCAGACCCAAGGTTCATTTCTGATATATTGCTATTTTTTAAAAAATCCATGCACCCTAGCACTCTGAGAACCAATTATTTTTCAGTAGAAGTGGACATTATTATATATGCTGATTGACTTCTTCTCAGGAACCTTTACTTCTGACTTTGCTTGTGCTAACCCTGACAGTTAATTAATAAAAGCAGGCTTCTGGATTAGTACTGACCATCTTATTATTCTTATAATAACAGGTTTTTTGCTTCTTCCCTTCCTCAGCACATATATGTTCACAATATGGAGATATTTTTCAAGAATCTGTTTTATTTTTGTGCAAGAAAATAACATGGAATGATAATTTCATTCTAGGTTTGGGCAATTGTGCACAGTCCAATTCTACTACCACCCCACACTGCATATTTTTTCAATGCAATGAGATAGAAAAATTCATTTTGAAGAAAATGTGATTTCTTCATTTTGCATTATCTAATTCTGGTACCGAGATCTTGCCTTGCCCTCAACCAGTAGGTGCCTCTGAAGAGGGAGAGCTGTCCATTTCTCTGGTGCTGAATTGTCCCTAATGTAGAGATTCTGGGAATACGCGTAGTTCTCAATTTATGAGCACAATTAGGACCAGAAGTTCTGTTGCCACGCAAGGCAGTTGTTAAGTGAGCCATGCCTGATTTTACAAAAAAAAATGCTATGCTGTTAAATGAATCACTGCAGTTGAACTATGTGGTTGAACTATGTGGTTGCTAAGTGAATCCAGCTTTCCCCCATTGGCTTTGCTTGTTGGAAGACAACTGGAAAGGTTACAAATGGTGATCACATGACCCTGGGATGTAAGTACATGCTGGTTGACAAAGTCCCAAATTTTGATCCTGTGATGATGGGAATGCGGCAATGGTGGTAAGTGTGAGGACTGATAATACATCACGTTTTTTCAGTTCCATTGGAACTTTGAATGGTCGAAAGAAAAGGTTGTAAGTCTAGAATTTCCTGTATACTTCATTCTAGACTAAAAGGACCCCAGTGGTACCTCTGCTGCATTGTTGCCTGGATGCAGAGCAGGAGATCCTTTAACGCTGCTAATAACAGCTATCAATTAGTGGGCACATCTTAACTGCAAGCTTAATTCATTGTCCTGTAGTTTGCAAGGAGGTAAACAAAGAAAGATAGCAAAACAGCTTAGTTTTTCTTCTATATATGCAAGATAAGTAGTGTTCATCTTTTAGGCTGCCTTTATGTTTTTGATTGGGCCTCCAAAACACAAATTAATCATTGCCAGGTGACAAGGTTGCTGGTCAGATCTTGTAAAACAAGACTCCTGGTTCAATGTACTTCAATATGTTTGACTTCAATTCTTATTATCTATTTCTGGCTAGAGGTTATGAGAGATTAAGACTGACACATCTAGAGGTCACCAAGGATTTTGCTGAAGCTGTAGGATCTGCGCAACCAGGCGAATTCATACAGTATCAGGGATTAAAGATACACAAAATGCACTTGGTACAGAAAAGCACTCCATTGCAGCACCTGCCCTCTGGAATACCCTCCACCTCCAGAATTCATGTGCTTCCCACCCTATTGGGATTCTGGAAATCCTTAAAAACCTGATTCCCATCCCTGAATCTGGGACAGGGTGACTGCTGAGCTGTGTCAGGTATATTTTGTGTGGCCTCGTGGTTTGTTTGCCTCTTGTTTCTTTTATTTATTCTTTTTTTTTTACCCCACCTTTATTACTATTTAGGTAACATAAGGCAGCAAGCATACATAGTACTCCTTCCCCCTCCTATTTTACCCACAAAAACCCTGTGAAGAGGATTGGGTTGAGAGAGGGCGATTGGCCCAAAATCACCCAGCCTCCTTTCATGCCTAAGGTGGGACTAGAATTCACCATCTCCTGGCGATTAGCCCAAAGTCATTGAACCAACTTGCATGCCTAAGGCAGATCTGGAACTTACCATCTGCAGGTGATTGACTCAAAGTCACCCAGCTGGTTTTCGTTTCTAAGGCAGGACTAGAATCTCCTGGTTTCTAAGTCAGCACCTTCACTACTAGATCAAATTGTCTGGTTTTTTTTGTCTAATATTTGTTTTGTCTATTTGTTTATAATTTAAGCTACATAGAGTCATTCTGGAGTTGGGCAGCCTTAAATCAAATCAAAATACATGAGCAAGGAAGCAAAGCAGCATTTAGTAGATGGCAGTCTTTTCAGGCCCTGAGCCTACCTTATAGGGCCTCTTCTAAGAATACCATTTACTTTCATTTTGGCATGAACTGGATGCAAAAGTTGGCCTTCGAAATGCATCAGTTCTAAGGGAGCTTGTCAGATGTCTTGACACTTTGTCATGCTTTCTGCTGCTGTCCTCATGTTCATTTTGGCACAATTAGAGGTGCATTGAGAGATGGGAGGGGGGAAACTGCCAGAAACATAACATAATTAAGAA